AAGATCATCTACTTGTGCTTCCAGGTCCTGTCAAGCCATGCTGCTCTGGGTTGCCACGCTGAAGGGTGCCAGGAAAACATCTAATAGAAGTCAGGCCTTCTCACTGGTGGCCCCATCTCTCCTGGAACCGGCTCCCAATTAAACTGCGCTTGGCCACCTCCCTGCCCATCTGGAAGAGGCTGATCTTCATAGAGGCCTTTGATGACAACCTCATATGAATTTGCCACTTGCCTTGTCCACCCTATTATGGTTAAGAATCCTAGAATAATGGGAACGGAAGGGGCCCTATAAAAAAAGGCCATTGAGCCCAACCTCCTGCTCAAGGCAGGAATACAAATCAAAGCAAATCTGATAGATGGTTCTCTAATTTTCTCCTGAATGCCTCCAGCATTAGAGCACCTCACCGCCACCACTGGGTTCCATTGTCATACTGCTCTAACAGTTACGAAGTTTTTCCTGCTATTCAGCTGAAATCTGGCTTCCTGTAGCTTGAGCCCATTTTTATGTATCCTGAACTCTGGCGTGATCGAGAACGGATCTTGCCTCTCCTCTGTATAACTACTTTTCAAGGATTTGAAGAGTGCTATCATGTCTCCACTGAGTCTTCTATCTTTGTGTCCTCTTGGGTTTGTGATGTGATTTGCTGTTTACGTTATTGTTTGCATTTGATTTATTGTCATCCCTGTTTGCTTTTGTTGTTTATTAACTGCCCAAAATAATGCCTCACACTAATGCGGTGATATACTGATCTATTAAATAAATAAATACCAACTTCTCTGCTTCTTTTGTAACATACCACCTTTTGACCTGGCTGATGCAAAAACACATTTATCCTAATGGGGTGCCAAGAGGGTTCAGCTTGTCAGAGGGAGTGATTCCTAGAAGACCAACCCATTAATTTTCTAACAAGCCCCTGTAGACTAAACACAACAGAGATACAGTGCGACTCTACAGGCAGTTTCCTGAAATGTGATTTCCCCCGCCCCCAAGGAAGTCCAGATTACAGAGGCAAGTTGAAAACCCATTTGATGGATTGTGTCCTCGAACCTCCAAGGGTTGGAAAACTGCTCTTAAGATCTGCAATGATAGGTGAGTGGCTCTTCTGTGAGGATTGATACTTCATGTGTAAGGTAAGAGGTAAGAGAAGATTTGTTTTGCCCTTGACCCAGTTTACAACTTGGGTCAAGGATACTTCAGTGGGGCGAGGCTTCAAAATACACAATCATTACCGCCTGAATCGGTCAGGTTTGCTTTCTCCCACCTTTGCAGATTTTGGATCCGAGATTCTTTGCATCAGACTTGTGAAGATACTAGTTTTGGAAAGTTCTTATTTGCTATCAAAGGAAGAAAGAAAAAGAAACAATTTATCTTCCCAATCAGACCAAATTGAGTAAGAACAGCTATTACCAGGGGGGTGAGGATCATGTTTCTACCTGCCTGACTTAAAGATGAGGCACCGCTTAGCAAAAAAAAAGGGTGGGGTGGTAATCCACCATAAACACCATAAACATGGTTGAAAATGCAGGACTTGCTCAGAACGTGTAAAGTATCCCACTTCCCTTTGGATTTAAGTAATTTCCAAACCCAAAACACACCCCTTGTTACATTTAAGAAGGAAGCCTGAAATGGGAATCAAATCAAATCTGGGCTCAAAAAAGTACCAAATATTGCTGCTCTGCTTCCATTTTAAAAGATGGCACTAGTGAGTCTTCCTCAGAAAATGAAATACTTTATAGAATCCAGATTGCCCAAAGCAAAAGAAAACTGATAATTCAAGCACCGATGGAAGCCCAAGCTCCCCAGGAAACTCCAATCATGGAGCCCAAGGAAGGCATAGATCAACCGCATAAATTCCCTTTTCTGCAATCAGCGGCCATTTCACATATAGAATGGGTGAGAGAAGGTTGTTATTGTCTTTCAGGGATTACTATTTGTATCTCTTTTGTTCTTTGTAAGGTGGGAGTGCAGTGGATAATTTTCTTTTCTTTTCTTTTAGGCAACTGCAGATCTAATTCTGCATTCATAGGATAGAGAAGTTGGAAGTGGCCTATAAGGCCATCAAGTCCAACCCCCTGCTCAATGCAGGAATACAAATCAAAGGTGGTTGTCTAAGTCAGTGGTTCTTAACCTTGGGTTACTCAGGAGTTTTGGACTGCAACTCCTAGAAGCCTTCACCACCAAGTGTGCTGGCTGGGGTTTCTGGGAGTTGCAGTTCAAAAACATCCGAGTAACAAAGGTTAAGAACCACTGGTCTAAGTTTCTCTTGAATGCCTCCAGTGTTGGAGCCCTCACCACCTCTCAAAGTAATTAGTTCCACAGTCTTATTGCTCTAACGGTTAGGAAGTTTTTCCTGATATTCAATCAAAATCTGGCTTCCTTTAACTTGAGCCCATTGTTGCGTGTCCTGCACTCTTGGATGGTCAAGAACAGATCCTGCCCCTCCTCTGGATGACAGCATTTCAAGTATTTGAAAAGTGTTATCCTATCACCCCCTCCATCTTCTTTTCTCAAGGCTAAACACATCCAGTTCTTTCAGTCTTTCCTCATAGGGCTTGGTTTCCAGACCCCACTCCCCTTTATATATTGTTGCCCTCCTCTGAATTTGTTCCAGTTTATCCGCATCCTTCTTGAAGTGCAGTGTCCAGAACTGGACACAGTACTCAAGGTGAGGCCTAACCGGTGCTGAACAGAGAGGGGCTAATACTTCATGGGATCTGGAGAGTATACTTCTGCCTAAAATAGCATTTGCCTTTTTTGTAGCTACATTCAGAATTTGATCTACAACAATTCCAAGATCCGTCTCATTTGTAGTATTGCTGTGCCAGGTACCCTCCATCTTGTAAGTGTGCATTTGGGTTCGTTTTTCCAAGGTGAAGTACTTTATCCCTGTTGAATTTCATGCTCTTGTTTTCAGCCCAGTGCTTCCGCCTATCTAAACCAGTCTATCTTTATTTCTGTAATCCAGGGTATTAGCTAGTCCACCCATTGCACCTTAGACACCAATAATTTTAATGACTGTGTACATGAATGTGCTATGGATGCCTTAAATCTGTCATATGATATTTGAATGGGGAAGCCACATTAGAATTAAGAATAGGGCATAAATAACACCACCCTTTGTACCTTATTTTTTTTTTTTTACATCTGCAACTGTTGGCTTTTAAATCTGCAGCCTTATGGGTTATTCCCTTTTCACTGTACCTGTCTCTATTCCTGATGGGGTGGGTGGCAAATGTGACATAAAAGGCTGCTCTCAGGTATCCTGTTCACTGAGACTGTGAAACTACTAAGAGGTGTTCCACTTAACAAACATTTTTGTTGAGTAAATTGCACAATTCTCAAAGAAGAACTGGTCAGAGAACTGCCTGCACTTTGGAGGCTGAGCAGCGGTTGATGGCACTCAGTTTCATCCCCTGTCCAGGATCTGAGCCTTTTACTTTCCCGTAAATAGTCGCATAACACCTATAAGACTTCACTGGTTTCTAGAGTTCCTATTTTGTTTTCTAAGCTCACTTCTTCAGATGAATGAAGTGGCTGAGTCTCTGGGCAGAGTATAAACCACAATTAATTTCTTAAAATTACATTCCCCCCCCCGGTAACCATGGAAATGGTATCTACAGTTTCAGTTATCTGCAGTTTACCACAGCCCTATATGCCTATTTTTTCAACAATGCTCAAAAAGAAAATGTGCATCTTATCTTACCGGAAAATGTACCCCTAAATGTGAGCATTAGTGAACATGACATTCTAAAAAGCATTCTAAACAGCACACAGCAAAAATGCATACCATGGACAAGCCCGCATGCCAAAGAAATGCAGATATTTGGAGAAATGCATGCTTTTCCCAAATGTTCATACGAACTGTTTTTTTTTTCCCAAATGGTTGTTGTGGGTTTTTTGGGCTCTTTGCCCATGTTCTGAAGGATGTTGTTCCTGACGTTTCGCCATTCTCTGTGGCCGGCATCTTCAGAGGACAGGAGTAGGAACTCTGTCCATGCTCTGTTGCTGCTTGTTGGATAGTCCAACAAACTATACAACAAACAGCAACAGAGCACATGAATACATTGTTTTTTAAAAACCTTATTTTTCCGAGTTTAAAAAAAGATATACAAACGAAAGGGTCTCAAAGTCTGGATTAACAGAAAAGATGGGGAAACGGGAACCCAAAAGCAAATTAAATAGGTAGACATCTCCCGCTGAACCTCCAAAAGAGAAAATAAGCCTGGTGTGAAAAGTGGATCCTCTGACCAGCTTCCTCCCTCCACCCCCAATGTTTTCCTTTACTTATCTCTCTTTCATGTGACAAATTGAGCTTTTAGAGGACAAGGAGCCAGGGAACCGGAGGCAAATTTCTGTCTTTCTAGACCTTACAGGCTAATAAATTTTACTTGAAATATGCTTTGGTGGGCTGAAGCTCTCTTTCTCCGAGGCAGCAAGCAACAGAAGGAGAAAGGTGGTCACAGGCTTCTGAAGTCTTCTGATAAAAGGGAAGCCAGAAATAGTAATTCAGCACCTAGAAGACTAACTAGTTTCTATTCCTCATAAGCTTTCGCTCATGAAAAACACACGTAGGAGTCTCCTTATGATCTCCTTCAGATGGAAGCGTTGCCGTCTTAAACTTCACAGCGGCTGTTCGAGGGCTGTAATCCTCTTCCCCCATTAGGTTCAGGACCTTGGACAGCTGCTTTAAAGGCTGATACCCGGAGTGGATTCCTGATGCCACCTGACATGGGAGCCTCTGGACTCCATAGTTCCCACTTGCCCCCATGGAGGTCTTTAGAATTATTGGCAAGCTTAGCAAGACCTGGGCTGTTGTTTTTGTTTGCTTTGCTTTGCTTTGCTTTGCTTTGCTTTGCTTTGCTTTGCTTTGCTTTGCTTTGCTTTGCTTTGCTTTGCTTTGCTTTGCTTTGCTTTTAAATGCCTGTAGCATCTACCAACATTCTCCTGCTTGGTGCAATATGCCTACATCTCATATTTATCTAGGTCAACTTTCAGAGGACATGGGAACCGTCAACCAAACGAAGGTGACAGAGTTCATCATCGTGGGCTTCCCAAACACCCAGCGCTTCCGTCTTTTCCTCTTCCTTTTGCTCTTCTTCATCTATCTCTTCACCATCTTGGGCAACCTGATGGTTTTCATGGTCATCCGCCTTGATCCTCAGCTCCATACCCCCATGTACTTTTTCATCAGCGTATTGTCCTTCTTGGAGGTCTGGTACACCGCAACCATTATTCCCAAAATGCTCTCCAACCTTCTGAGTGAGGAGAAGCACATCTCTTTCACTGGATGCCTCCTGCAGATCTATTTCTTCCATTCCTTGGGAGCCACTGAATGTTACCTGCTCACAGCCATGGCATATGATCGCTACTTGGCCATCTGCAACCCACTCCGCTACCCAGCCATCATGACCACCAAGATGTGTATCAAGTTAGCTGCCAGCTGCTGGATCTGTGGCTTACTTGGCCCCATTGTAGAAATCATCTTGGTTTCAAAGCTTCCTTTCTGTGGCCCCAACAAAATCCAGCACATCTTCTGTGACTTCCCACCGCTGCTCAGCTTGGCCTGCAATGACACTTCCGTCAACGTTTTGGTTGACTTCGCTGTTAACGCTTTCAAGATCCTGTGCACCTTCTTCCTGATCTTAATGTCATACCTCCTGATCATCAAAGCCATCCTGAAGATCAGTACAGTGGCTGGAAGAAAGAAAGCCTTCTCTACATGTGTCGCGCACCTCACTGTGGTGCTGATTTTCTTTGGAAGCATTCTATTCATGTATGTCCGTCTGACAAAAAGTTACTCCTTGGATTATGATAGGGTTCTGGCTGTCTTCTATGCCATCCTGACCCCTTCACTTAATCCAATTATTTACAGCCTGCGAAACGCGGAAATCAAAACAGCCTTACAGAGAATGTTTCCATGGCAGAGGACAATTGCTAGAGAAATACAACATCCTTGAAAATTAATGTGGGAAACAGGGGGGAAACAGCACCAAGGCATTACATGCAGAATGAAACATTTGTGCCATTCTGGAGGGGGTCACACAAACACAACATCCTATTATCAGGCACAAAATTCAGCATTGCAAACTTATCCCTGCTCTTTCTTTGGGCCTGTTAGACTCAAAAGGCTGAACATGGATAGGGAAGACATGAAGACGTTGGCTTTGGTTGCTTGGTTGGGGGGATTCTGCCTAGTTGTTCACACCAAACCACTTACTAGCCTTAACAAGCAAGCTGTGCAAACCACAGGAAAAGAGGCTGTTTTGCATGTTCAAAATAGGTCATAGATTTCAGATCTCCTTGACGTGGCTTAATTTGGAAATTTTAAAATAAGTGCAGAGAGACTGGGTTGCATCCTTTAAACAATGTGTTCCCAAACTGTTCGCCTGCTAGAGTGGAAACAGCCACTACGTACTTAGACTATAAAGAAGGAACAGGAAACCTTCAGGCCTCCAGATGTTTTGGTCTTCAGCTCTCGGAGGCACCAGCCAGCTGTGTGAGGGGTTTAGAGTTACGTGAGGTGAAGCCCAAAATATATGGAGGACCAATTGTTTGCAAACTTTCCTGTAGCGAAATGCAATGATGCAGTCATACACACCTCTGATCTGGAGGACGTCCCGTTTATTTCAAAGACTCTTATAAACAAGGCATAAAGACGCTGAAGAAACAGGTGTAGGACTGCTGTCTGATTATTCTCCCCAATGTGTGTGTTTGTGTAGTCAGAAAAGTAAAATGAAATGTAAAAAATTAAAATCATAAATCTGATGGAAATAGTCTTCAAAAATTAAGGACACTCAATAGGGTCTTGGCCATAGAGCTGAACAGCAATTGTTCCCAGATTCATATATATAGGATTATATGCCTAAATACATATTCTTGGTTAGCTATTTAGCTTGTCAAATTATATTCTAATCTTCCGTGTATAATATGAATTCCCGTCATAATAAAATAGGTTTATTTTTAGCTACAGTTACAAGAATGAGCAAATCGTTCTTTGATTGATGTATTCATTTCACCATTGAGCAAAATGCCAATTAAGTACTGAAGTAGATGCTATTCTCTTGTAACAATCCCATACTGTTGTGGCTGCGTGCGAGAGGTGGTGCAAACCCACAACTTATTGATACCGCTAAATTAAGAATCAAAAGGCGGTCCATAAACATCTGGTTTTAATCGTTGAATCGCCATGCGGAAAATATACCTTAGCTGTAGAGGTTGCAATTCTATGCCCGCTTACCTGGGAGTAAGCCTTATTTAAATCAGTCACACTTACTTTTGAGTAACGTGTGCAAGATTGGACTCTAAAATTACACAAACTTGATGTTTTGTTGAGTGACAAAGCGGAAGAAGAAAAAGTAAACTACTGACATTGTAAACTAAAAGGGCCAGTTTTACTAATGAGCTTTGTCAGAGAGGAATGTCTCACTGGGTAATAACACAGGATTGGGACCATTGCACAGCTGTTGCCATTGTGCAAGCATTGCTCTTTGGGTTCAGCAGAAGCTCAGTAAGATACTTCCCTGTGGGTCCATCTGCATTGCATTGATTATACCTGTTCAACACCACTTTAAACCCTGTGACTTCATCTTGAGGAATGCTGGAAACTGAGTCAGATGAGGCACAGAGAATTTCGTGCATTTGAGCTCTGGAACTACAGCAGACAGTTCTTAATGCCTCACCAATTATACCTGTTCAACACCACTTTAAACCCTCTGGCTTCATCTTAAGGAACGCTGCAAACTGAGTCAGGTGAGACACAGAGAATTTCGTGCATTTGAGTGCATTCCCATTGGAATGCATTACAGACCTTAGGATCCTTTAGGATGGAGCTACAACTGTTTAAAGTGCTATTAAACTGATACATCTATGTAGTGGAGACACGTCCCTTCTTGCTCAGAGGGGGAGGCCATAGCTCAAGGATGATGTTCCTGAATTACATGCAAGATATTTAATATTCAGTTGCCAAACAACACTTGAAATTGGCCATTGCCAATCTGCACTCTCCAGTATAGACTGCCTTTGTATGCTGAAGCTCCATTTAATTAGCCCGTCCAACAGCCCTCTTCTCTTCCCTCCGCTTGTCCAGCTCCCCCTTAAAGGCCACTCACCTAGTTTCCATCACCGTCCTTAGCTGTGGAATCTGTGTGGGGATGATAGTCCTGCATCTCCTGTGAAACGGTCGGAGAAATTTCTTCACTCAAAATGAAGTAAAATTGCATCTGCCTTCGACGTTTGATGTTCTCAGGGCCAACTTTGTGAAGCCATCCTCGAATAAAGGATCCAATCCGTGTCTAATGTCCCCGAGATTCAACAGCCCTTTAAGGGTTTGGACCCTGTGTGCTCAAGGCCTCATAATCGTCCCACAGCCCCAGGGGCGAGGCCCGAAACGTCTGCTTCTCTGGCATAGACTTTTTTGAGCTGAAGAGGTACGTGTGCAAAACCAGCCCAACAGCAAAGACTTATACAGTGGTGCCTCGCTAGATGATGATAATCCGTTCCACTGAAATCGCTGTTTAGCGAAATCATTGTCTAGCAAAAAGCATTTCCCCATTGGAATGCATTGAAACCTGTTTAATGCATTCCAGTAGGGAAGAATCGTGAAGATCGGCCATAGGAAAGCCACTTTGCGAACCGCCGATCAGCTGTTTAAATCGCTGTCTTGCGAAGCTTAGGTCTCGAAAACACCTGTTTGCGATGGCAGAGGGAGCTGTCAAAATCGTCGTCTAGCGAAAATCAGTTTGCGAAGCAGGGACAAAACATTGTACAGCGAAATTCCCCCATAGGAATCACTGTTTGGCGAATCGCTATAGCGATTGCAAAAAGTCAATGTCTAGCGAAAAACTGTCATGCGGGGTAACTGTCTAGCGAGGCACCACTGTATAAGCAGCCACGCACTTTTCAATTTCTGCCTCAATAGATGTGTTCTGCACCCATTTCCCCTGCCCTCTGTCCATGGTCCTGATGGGTATCACCATGCGGTTCCTAATCCTGAACACTTTGTCCATTCCGGCTTCCTGTCTACTAATAGCTTCATCCAGGCATTGGCCCTTCTCTCAGTCTCAGAGCCATCATATAGACACTTTGTCCATTCCGGCTTCCTGTCTACCTTCTCTCAGTCTCAACGCCATCATATAAATTGTTAGCTGACAACCCTAGAAACAACTTTTGTGTGACTACTTGAAGCTGTGGAAGCCCCTTCCACTGGAAATGGTTCTACTCCCCTGAAAGTTCACCTTCTGAGAACAGCAAAGACCTTTCTGTTCAGACATGCTTTTGGTAAGGAAGTGGCTTTTAAAGAGAGACATTGTGTAATCTTTTTTTTTACTTTTCTTTCTGATGTGCTTTTAAATGCTTTCGATTTATAACCCGTTTACTTGTGTTTTAATATTAGCCTTTGCTGCATTTTTAAAAGTAAAAGTAGTGTCTTGTCTTTTAAACATTTCGTAAGCCGCCTTGGATCCTTGCATTGGGACAAAGGCAGGATTACTACATGGGTAGCTTGTTAGATTAGATAAGGTAAGACAGAGAAATAGAACAGGAAATATCTGGATGTAAATGGAGCTCTTAGGATAGGCCAGACGGACAGAAGGAGAGAAGGACAGATCGATTAGTCAATCTGATGCCCTCAGGAGGTTTTAGACCAGAATGCATATTTCTTCCCATTACTAAAGTTGTTTTGGGCTGATGGAAGTTATGTTTTCAAGGCAACTAGAAGGTCCTAGATGACCTGCGCTCCCCCCCTCATGTATTTCCACAACCAGTCTAAGCCTTGAACAAGACATGAACTTCACAGAAATTTTATTTCAGACATGCTTAAACAAAACGTGGGTTTGGAATGATGCTCCACATATATTGAGGGGAGGGAAAAACCATTTACACATGCTTAAAAATGTCTATGCCAAGCTTCTAAATATTTCTGGGGTACACAATGTATGGGGGCTCAGTGGATAGCTGGATAGCTCAGTGGTTTAGGTATGTGGCTGCAGAGCCAGACGTCAGAAGTCCGATTTCCCCCCCACACACGGCATCTCCTGTATGGGGGCTGGATAGCTCAGTGGTTTAGGTATGTGGCTGCAGAGCCAGAGGTCAGAGGTCCGATTTCCCCCCCCCCCACGGTGTCTCCTGGAAGAAGAGCCAGCCCGGGTGGCCTTGGGCAAGCAGCACAGTCCCAGGGCACCTCCGAAAGAAAAGCTGACAGCTAACTTGATGCACATCTTGGTTGTCATAATGGCTGGGTAGCGGAGTGGGTTGCAGATGGCCAAGTAGCGATCATATGCCATGGCTGTGAGCAGGTAACATTCAGTGGCTGAGGTAGAGAGTACTCAGAAGGAGGCAGGGGTATCTTCCCAAGCATTTATCCATTACAGTGGTGCCTCGCTTAATGGGTGCTCCATTTAACGACGAAATCGCATAGCGATGAAGATTTTGCAATCGCTTTTGCGATCGCAGTGCAATGGTCTGAATGGTGTTTTTTTCACTTTGCGATGATCGGTTCCCTGTTTCACTTACCGATCATCACAAAGCGACAATTTTTTAACAGCTGATCGGTGGTTCCAAAATGGCCGCCGGGTAAAAAAAATGGCCACCCGCTGTGTTTTCGCACGGATTCCTCGCTTACTGGGCAGCGAAAATGGCCACCATATGGAGGATCTTCGCTTAAAGGTCAGTTTCAAGCCCATAGGAACGCATTGAAGGGGCTTCAATGCATTCCTACGGGCTTTTTTAAATCGCATAGCGACGAAATTGCTTAGCAGTGATTTTTGCTGCATCGATTAACGTCGCTTTGCGAGGCACCACTGTATAGAATCAACTGGGATATTTCTGGGCCTCAGCCTCCCTGATCTCATGACAATTATTACTGCCCTGCAAGAAGCCACATGTTGCTAAGGCAACTAAATCATCCAGCCTTGACCCAAGGCCGGGTCTCGATGTCCATACATCAGGTGCAATGGAATACGGGAAGCAGGATCGTGGAGGCAACCGATATGACCAGGGAGTGATCAAAGACCAGGCTGCCGTGTCTACATCAAAAGCAATTATGATCTCAGCGTGAAGCCTATGAACCATAGGTTAATGGCTGCCAACCTGACTGAGCAAAGACCTGTGAAAAGAGTCATTGATGAACTCTCTCCGGTGGGAGAAGACATATAAAAAAAAGCCAACGCTGATGACAGTTAAACAAGCTGCAAGGAAATCAGATGGGGGGGGGAAGAGATCAGCAACTAGTTGCAGATGAGTCAAGATTAAATGGGTGTTCATCAAGGCCTCTGCAATCATAAGAGTAATGGGAAGAGATGACACAATACAAAATGGCTTCCTGCTAGTCCTCCCAGCTAAGGCAGGTTTGGGAATCGGGAGACCCCAGAACCCCCTCCCCGAAGATCACCCCAACATTTGCAGAGGGTGTAGGAAGAAACAGAGTCATGCTTTAGAAGGGCACGATTCACCCAATGGGCTCCACCCACTTTATTTTAGCAAAGGAAAAAGAGAAACAGAGTCATGCTTTAGAAGGGCACGGTTCACCCAATGGGCTCCACCCATATACACACTTTATTTTAGCAAAGGAAAAAAGAAAAATGTATTCTCGAAGGCTTTCACGGCCAGGATCTGACGGTTTTCGGACCAAAGAGCCCGAAAAACCCACAACAACCAAAAAGAAATATGTTTATAGAACCATGAAGTATAAAAAAGAATCTGGAAATGACAAGCTATTCTCTTTCAGTTTTATTGATAGAAGCTTTCGTGGTTCCAGAAGGTCATGGAGCAGGAAAAATAATCCAAACCCAGCGACATGAAACTCAGGACACCTGGGCGGGGGTATAGATGAATGGACCACAGTTGTTCCACAGAAGTCTACGACCCACATTTGTAAAAGGAAATGGCCACTAGAAATATCTGGATGTAAGTGGACCCCCCCAGGATCATTGCAGCATCCTCAATGTGAACAACAACAACAAATATGGCCACAATAGAACATCCCACCCATAGGAGAACAAGGGTTTCCTTAACCAGGGTAGTCTGAACGGGAAGGCTTTTCAGCACCTTCAAAGCTGTTTGCTGAGTTTGCGGGCTTGTCTCTCGCGCGCCTCAAAAGCTATCTTGACATCCATCAGTTCATTCAAGGACTTCTGCACGACCTCCATCTCTTGCTTGACCTGCTCGTAGTTCTGGACCAGTTCCTGGTTCTCGTGCTGCAGCTCCTCCAGGACCAACATGACCTCGTGGTTCTGCCGCCGGCAGCGATTCTTGAGCTGCTCCGTCTCAGCAAGGAGCGTCTCCACCGTCTTGACCATTGACTCAATTTGCTCCCGGGACATGGCTGACAAAAGGGAAGGGAGAAGGGAAACATCAGAAAAGTAATTCGCGAAGGCTTTCACGGCCAGAATCTAATGGTTGTTGCGGGTTTTTCGGGCTCTCTGGCCGTGTACTGAAGGTTGTTCTTCCTAATGTTTTGCCAGTCTAATTCTATTGCAAAATACTGAAATACTGGACAACACCAGCAAGCATTTCGTTAGACTGCACAGGGAAGCCATTGAAATCCATAAACATCAACAGAACTTCAAAAAAAAAAAGAGGAAAGTTTGAAACTCAACAAAACTTGGTTCCCAGTTCTGAAAAATACAGCGTGCAAAAGGTCAGCGAACTCTCCCCAGCCACAAGGACCAGGAATCACTACATACAAAAGACCAGCTAATGACACCCATCAATCACAATGACAGATCCTCTCTCCTCCTTATCACAACAAGACACCCACAACAAGACACAATAATCACTCATCTCCTGAAAAGGACAAAAGCTGATCTCACAGCCATAAATACTCAACTCCCAAACAAACTGCACCACAGCACAGAGTTCTGACTCCTGTCCTCTGAAGATGCCGGCCACAGAGTGTGGCGGACCGTTAGGAAGAACAACCTTCAGAACACGGCCAAAGAGCCCGAAAAACCCATAAGAACCATAAGAAAAGTTGTTGGCTG